ATGCTGAACCTCTTCATGTTGAATCTCCTCATTTTGATTTTCCTTTTCCTCTGGTGTAAGCCCTAAGCTAAATGATGGCATGGACAAGTCTTGGCTGTTGGTCTCAAGGTTGCGCTTCACCGTGAAAAATTCCATTTCAAGTCGAGATATTTCAGCCAAGAAAGAAGGGCTCTCGTGGACTACTTCGAATTGCAGTTTCGGATTTGTTTCCGAAATCGGAGTACCTGATATTCTTGGACTTTTACCAATAGTAACAATCACTTCTGCAGCAGTTTGTTGCATTCTCTTGACGGCATTTGAATTTGGGAACTCACTATTCAAGCCTCTACAGACGGTGTCCCACTTTGATATTTTTTGCACCAACTCTTTTGCAGCAGTCCGTGCCTCCTCTAAAACGTCGTTCTAAAACAGGTTTTTATAAAAGAAAAAAGTGTGTCAAGTTACTTTGATATTCAATGCTTCAAATTCAAATTATCCACTCAAAGTCAAACCAAATAAATATGAAAAAGAAGCAAGAGCATGATCACTTCATTCATCCAAGCAAGGAGTTAATTTAGGAGACTAAGACGTTGATTGAACAATCATAGAGTGTGTTTGTGTAAAAATGGATTGGATGGCAGGTAGTGAACTGAAAGGGGAAATGAAATTATAGAACAAAAAGCAAAGTACTAGTGTAGGCAGGGCAGGGATTTTTGAACATAAAGAAAACTGATGTGTGTGTGTCTTACAATTACCTGTGATTGTGATGTTTTCCCAGGAGGATCTTCAAGAGACGAGTTTTCATTTGAAAACAACTCTTTATTGATTTGTGGGTCCACGCTACCACGGCCAAAACCACCTATTTACAGTATTATTCAGTCACGTGTAACTTAAAAAAGCATGAACTCCTAAAAATAAGTTGCACTAACCTGGTTCTCGCTCCAATCCTTCTCTTTCCTTAAGCTTCTGCGAAGTCCAACCTAGCATAGTTGGGAAAGTTCTAGGCACTACTCTCATTTGGAAGACAATCCTATTAACATAAAACATCTAAAAAGAGAAAAAATCAGTATAACACAGACGACTGTGTAAAATATAAAATGCAAACTAGTGTGTTGGAACTTATAAAGTTTTATGTTAAGGAAAATGAATACATACCATTAAGAACAAAACAGGGCTAGTAAAATAAGGATTTGACTTTCGCTTCCATTGAATGGTAGAATTAATTAAACTGGTCAAGGTATACTTGCACCAGTTTAATTTATTCACGTTAGTCAAATCGACTAAGGAGCGCAACACTCTTGAATTTGCAAATGTATTTCTGTTTCCAGATATGCAGGTAGAGATGAAGAACACCATAAAATTGAGCTTAAATCCTTCACTTGACCCCGCCATTCCTAAAATTCTCTCGGGCATAGCATTAGTACGTGGAAAATCCCTCTGTAAACCCCACTCATCTCTCCACTTAAGGACCAAAGTCTTATAATCCTCAGGGTCTGTTGGCTTGTTTTGAGCTTCTAGCACATCAAATGGTCCGATCGGGAGGCCAAGGGTTAGATGGACATCCTTTTCTGTGATTCTAACCCGCTCATTTAAAAGTTTAAGTGAATAGCTATCTGGGTCAAAGTTTTGAACAAGCCATTTTGAAAGCTTTACCGGTAGAACTGACGCTTCAAGACTAAAAAGGGAATGAAAACCCAACTCTTCAACAGCTTTTTTTGCTCACTATTTAACCTCAAGAGGTTAAAAAGGCCGTTCGGAGACATACGAGTCTTATAATCTTTGTCATGAACTATACTTTCTAAAATAGTCGCAACATCTCGTTTTGGCCTATTAATGATTGCATCGGGGACAATGGCAGTGGGTGACTGTTCTAAACATAAAAGACGTGGACTTTTCCTAAGAACTATAGAAGTCGATGGAACTAGAGGTGTACAAGGTTCAGCAGTGTGCTGTTCCACAGCAAACTCAGCTTGTTTCCTTAAAAAAACAAGAACACAAAAAACATAAGTTTAAAATTCTAGGTTAATAAATTTAAAGTGATGTGTGTTTGAGAAAGATAAGTACCAACCTTTTTTCCATGATTTTTTTTCCACCTTCAACTTCCATGCTTTCAGATGGTATTAAATTACCTATAGAATAAGGTCACTACATGAAAAGTCCAGAATACAAACTCACTCAAATTTCCTCTAAGCCTAACAGCACAAAAGCATAATATTAAAGTACTTGAGCAGTGAACATCCTAACATATATAAAAATTCAACCAAACCAGAGCTCAAATGAACCAAAACATGGCTGAAATTGAAGAGAAATGTATTAGAAACAAAACTAATCAAAACCAGCCAGTCAAAAAAGAGGTATTAAGAAGCATGAAAATCATGGACAGATAAATCGGAATTCAGAATAAATGTAACAGAATCACCACAAAAATTGCATAGAACAATAGCATGAAAAATTTAGAGAAGGGGGGGGGGGCAATACAACAGAGCTTTGGTGACAGAATTCCCATCTCAGCAATGGCTTTTTGGATCCAACCATTCAACTATAAAGATAATATTCAAAGATGATACAAAAGTAGCTTCAGCAGGGGGAGAAAAATACCTTTCTTAGTGCGCCACTAAATCTGGAGAGAAAATCCAAAACCAAAGAGACTGCTGCGAAGGATCTGGCGATGGCGATTGGGGAGTGATTAGGGTTTATTTGGGTCGAAGGAGAAAGATGAAGCTGATGGGGAACAAAGGTAGAGAAATTAATGGTGATTGGGAGCGAAGAAAATGTACCAATAAGAAAGAATTGGGCAAAGCGACGAAGAAGAAAGAAGAAAGAAGACCGGGCAAAGGAGAGCGTAAAACAAAGACCAGTGAAGCGCGCGTGTCATCTGATGGGAACCGTCATCTTACCAAAACTCGTCATCTAACCGGAGTCAATCCCATATATATATATATATATATATATATATATATATATATATATATATATATATATATATATATATATATATATATAAAGGAAATTTTATTAATTAAAAACGAAGAATGGTACAAGTTTGATCACAAAGAATTGCTCCTTTAACAATTTTTGGGAGCAATTTGAAAGAAGTGTATGATTGAAAATAATTATTTCTTTGGACAAATTTGGCAAGGTTATGGGCTGCAGTATTTGCTTCTCAATAGATGTGTCTAGCATTGCCTTGGATTTGCTCGAGAATTTGTTGGATTGCTTTGCTTGTTTCTTGAAGGTCATTTCTGTCATTGATTCTCCGGATTGTGTTTTTGGAGTCCAAGTGCAAGTCAATGGGTCCATGTTTGATTGAGATGGCCCAATTAAGGCCCATGATAGCTGCTTCCATCTCACCATCTTCAGAGGAGTGTTGCGTTTGCAAATGGGTGCTCATTGCTCCAAGAAATTCTCCTTCCTTTGTTCGTAGAATAGCGGCGCCAGCCATTGAATCTCTGGCAACTGACACGTCCGTGTTGAGGGTGGTGCGCTCTCCAGTCCATTTGAAAATTTTGATCCTTGGAAGTAATCTAATTGGGCATTCAGTTTGATTTGGGAGCCTTCCTTTTCCTTTTCCGAGTATCCATTCAATTAGTTTTCTCCAGATCATTTGAATAAGCTGTGATGCTGTTTTTTATTCTTGTTTTTTATACTCTTCTATTTCTTTCTTTCCAGATTTCATATGTGATGATCCCTGGGGCAGATTGTTTGAACACTCTGCAAGTTCCAGGTATGTCTGTGTTTCTCCACCACGTCATTAGGTAGGCACGTATTCCATGTGTTGTCCTGTGAGGGACGTTGAAAATCTGTTCAAAGTAGGTCCATATTTGGTTGCTGTAACTGCATTGTTTCATCATATGATTTGCTTCTTCTTGATTATCCCTGCAAAGAAAACAAATAGAGGGCAAGCTCTGGCCAAAACGTGTTAGTGTATTAGGAAGAGGAAGGATGTTTTTATAAAGTTTCCATATGAAGAGAGATACTTTAGGATATTGATAAGAATTCCCGGTGTTGACAAGGAATCTGTCAGGGGTTTTTTCTCTCTCAAAGCATTGTATGCTCTCTTTATACTGAAGCCTAGGTGGCCCTCATTCCAGCAAATGGTGTTGTGTTGGTTTAGGTGGAATAGGTTATAGGCAATATCATTGATATGGTGGAGCCTTTTCCAAATGGGGGAGGCAGTGGGTTTGGGTGGGGAATTGAATCCCTTGTGATATCTTTTGTGGATGAAATTTGCCCAAAAGGAGTTCTTGTGAGTGTAACTCCACCACATTTTCAACCCATAAGAGTCTTGAAGGGTATCCAGATTATAAATGCCCAGTCCTCCTTCCTCTTTAGGGTTGCATATGTCCTTCCATGTTGCCCAGTGGTATTTATGGTTGTCTCTTTTGGAACCCCAGAGGAAATTGGCCATTTTTCTGTTGAGGCATGTAGTGACACTTTTAGGGAGTTTGGTGGTTCCAAGGATATGTAGAGGAATGGAGCTCAAAACATGTTTGATTAGGATAAGTCTTCCACTTTGGGAGAGCAGATGCTTAGTCCATCCTTGGAGTTTCTGATCAAAGTGTTCAAGAATATCCCCACAGTAGTTTTTCCTGTTGTTTCCTCTGTGGATTTGAGTGCCCAGGTATTTAAAGGGAAAGAAACCTCTCTGCATGTTTAGGATTTTCCCCATCTTAGAGGCCTGGGCTGTGGGTGTCTTGTCAGGTGTGTAAAAGAAACTTTTTTGTAAGTTGATAGCTCGTCCAGTAGCCACCTCATAATCTTTTAGGAATTTAGCCAGTTTTTGTATATTGCTAATTGATCCACTACTGAAAAGAATCAAATCATCAGCAAAAGCAAGATGGGATATGGGTAGTAGGTGTCTGCCCATGTTGTAGCTTTTCAAATTTCCATTGTTGGTGTCAACTTTCAGGGTTCTGCTCAGCAGCTAGGATAAAAAGGAGAGGAGATAAGGGGTCACCTTGCTTTAGTCCTCTTTGGGGTTGGAATGGTTTACAGGGGTAGCCATTGATAAGCATAGAGTGATATGTGTATTTAAGGTTGTTAAGAATCAGGGTATTAAATCTGTCACTGAATCCAAACTTTTCAAGAACCATGACCAAAAATTCCCAAGAGACTGTGTTAAAGGCTTTGGAGATGTCCAGCTTAATGGCAATATTTCCACCTCTTGATTTGTAGTTGATTCCCTGGATCAATTCTTGAGCAATCAGGATCTGGTCATGAATCTGTCTGCCTTTGATGAACCCCCCTTGTTCAGAAGAAATAAGGTTAGGAAGGAAAGTCCCAGTCTCATAGCCAGAATTTTAGTGTTAATTTTGGCTATGAAATTGGAGAGGCAAATGGGTCTATATTCATCAAAGGAGGAGGGGTTTTCTTTTTTAGGAATAAGGATGATGGTGGTTTTCCCCTTGGATTTGGGAATAAGCATTCCTAGAAAAATTCCTGGACAACCTTGATCACATATTCCTTGATAGTGTCCCATCCTTGTCTATAGAAGTCTCCTGTAAACCCATCTGGTCCAGCTGAGCTATCTGGATTAAGACTCCAAACTGCCTCTTTAACTTCTTCCTCAGTAGGGAGTTTGGTAAGAGTAGTGTTAATTGAGTCATCCACTAGGAGAGGGATATTATCCAGGAACTTGTTCATGCCCTCACAGTTGTGATTAGGGAAGAGGGCCTTGAAGAAGTTAGTTGCCCCATGTTGGATATCATTGGTGTTCTCCAACCAGTTGCCATTAGAATCTTTGATTTTATGGATTTTTTGATGGATTCTTTTTTCCTTGATTTTGGCATGTAAGAAAGAGGAGTTACATTCACCCTCTTTGAGCCATTTGATGCCTGCTTTTTGCTTCCAAAATAGGAATTCATTCTTAGTTGCATGAATTAGGTTGGCCCTTTTTTCATTCATGAAAGCTCTGTTGTCTCAGTTAGGATTAGCATCAAATTCCTGTTCTGCTTGTTGGAGATCTTTTTCCAGGGCCTCAACTGTAGAAGTGATGTTGCCAAAAGTTGTTTTGTTCCAATGTTGGAGAACCTTTGAGAGCTTACTAAGTTTATCCATGAGTCCTTTCATTCCTCCCCCACAGTATTTTTCCCAATTTCCTTCAAGGACTTTTATGAAGGTGTGATTCTTAGACCAACAGTTGATATACCTGAAAGGTCTAGGGCCAGTGAAAGTAGGGTTAGAGGCTTTTAATAAGATGGGGCAGTGATCAGAAGTGCCTCTAGGAAGGTGTTGAGAGGCAATGTCCTCAAAACTGTTGAGACAATGGCTGTTGATGAAGACTCTGTCAAGTCTTTTCCACAATCTGCCCAGAGACCTAGCGCCTGTCCAAGTGAAAGGAGAACCAGTGTAGGGTGGGGAGTGAAGACCACAATCCATAACACAATCATCAAAGTCCTGGATGCTATGGAGGCATGGAGTACTATTACCTTTGTTCTTTCTTCTTTGGTGTGTTTGCCATAGATGGTTGAGAAAAGAAAATCCTTGCTGACTTTTTTGTTGAAGAAAAGAATATTAGTGATCTGACCCATGTCTGTGTGGGAGATGTAGTTTAAGTCCTCCTCCTTCCACATGATCCAAATTCTATTAGAAGAGTTCACAATAGAGTTGGAGAAACCAAGATCTAACTCGAAATTGGTTATTTTAGAGGAAGAGGCTTTAGGTTCAATGATTGCTAGGATAGAGATTTTGTGTTTGTTACTGAGAAAAGATAACCTCTCACATTTAGAGGTTATGCCATAGGTGTTCCATATGAGATAGTTCATTGAGAATTATCTTTGGTGTGATTGACTGATGAATGCTTAAGTTGGAGCCTCATTGATTTCCTGACAGTTGTGTTGTAGGATTCATTCATATCTGCTTTATCATTCTTGTGTCCTTTTGCTGTAGATTCTAGAGGGGTGTTTCAAGATGATGGTCCAGTATGCTGCTGTGTCTCTGTGGTGTGAAGATGCTCTGGCTCTGTGGTGTGAGGGTCCTCTGGTTCCTGGTTGGAAGATGGTTTCTTGGTTCTGTGTTCTCCTTCACTAAGATATCCCACATTGTAGTCAAAGTTTTTGCTGGAAATGTGGGAGTCATGTTGTGAGAGGTAATCCCTTTTCATACCTTGTTTGGAGTGGAGTTTGAGTCAGAGGGGGTTTTTTGGTTTTGCTTGTTTGGAATGGGATTATTTTTCATGGGGGTCTGTACTTGCTATTTTTCCTTGTATTCCTTCCTAGTGGCTGATATTGGCTGAGAATTATCTTTGGGAATATTCCAGTTACTGTTTGCCGGAACAGTGCTGTTTTGGACCTCCTTGTTTTTGAGGGTTTTGCATTCTAGGTTATGTCTGGAAATGCCTCTACAGGTATGACAGAATTCTGGTACCTCATCATAGATGGCTTCAAGAGCAAGTTGTTGACTCCCATTTTGAACAAAGAATTTAGAAATTTGAGGTTGTGAGATATCAACCTCAACACAGACTCTAGCAAGGGATGGTCTCCCAAAATTTTCAGTTGTAGCATCCAGTTTAATGGGGTTACCAAAAATATGAGCAATTCTGGTAAGGGAGTCCTTAGAATGAAGATGAATAGGTAGATCCTTAATTGCAACCCACACAGGTAGAATTGGGGATTCATACTTGGGGTCATAATTAGGAGTCCACTTAGAAATCATCATTTTGAAAGAGCCAAAAGTCCATTCTCTTCTCTTAAAGCATCTGTGAAATTCCTCTTCTTTAGAGAAATTGAGAAGGACATGAGAGCTGTCAATGAGGGTGACAGAGAAGGCTGTGAAGCCTATTCTTTCCAGATTTTGCCTTAGAAAGTCTAAGCTTGGCCTCCCAAAAAAGAAAGAACCTACCAAGGCCCTGGAAAATCTGCTGGCTAAAAGGTTAACTTCTTCCTGTGTGAAAGACACGCAGGGAAGGCCTTTTAGCTTTTCAACCGGAGAGGCATGAGTAGGAATTTCAATTACCTGTTGTGAGGTTGCAATGGTTGCTGCTGCGTAGTTTTTCCTTTGTGGTGGATATGGAGTGAAGGAAGGTTTCTGAGCATGAATTGTTGATGTAGAGTTGGCTTTTTTTGTAGGTTGCTGGTTGAAGGAGGATGTGTTGGTGGCTTGGAAATAGAGGAAGGCTGGCCGGAGTTTCCCCTGGAGGAGCTCGCCGACATGGTGTAAAGAGGCTCCGCTGCTAAGAGAGGGAATTTTTTTTCATATATATATATATATATATATATATATATATATATATATATATATATATATATATATATATATGAAATGGGGTTTAGAGAGAGGAACGGATCTAGAGTACTGTTTGGGATTCGTCATTTTCAGCGAACTTTCAACCCAAGCAGGAATCGACGGAGATTTTTTATTCGAGGAGATGGACCTGTGGAGACTCATGCCTGGAGAAGAAGGACAGAGCACAGCAACTGGAAATCTACAAAGACCCGAAGAGTGTACGATACTCCATATGTCCCAAGGTGCGAAAGTCTGAATAAATCTCACTCCTTCCGAATCCAATCCAAGGTTTTTTCCCTCTTTCACTCTTGTTACAATAAGAATTTTTGTATCAGTGAAAGTGGCAAGAAGATTTACAATATATGGTTTGATCTACATGGATTAATTTGGATGCTTCAACTTTTCCCCAAACTGAATCAGAAAAATCCATGGGTTATCACCTGTTTTGAAAAGCATCCTAAAATCACCATTTACTATGGATGTAATTGTTGGGGAGGCTATATCAGGATTCTTGAGTCCAGAAGAGAAGGGAAAACCTCCATTATTGTTCCTACAGACAGAGGGGGTATGGTGTATTTTTTCGAAGCCCTAGATGCTTTGGTTCTTGTTCAGTAGGGAACACTTCTATTCTCGTGGCCTCTCCTAATGCAGTGCAAGATTTACCTCAGGCAAAGGCAGCTGCTGATACCCCAAAAGACATTTGTCCTTTGAGGGCTTTCTCCCCCCAAGTTGGCAGAGGGATTAAACAATTCGGTGAACAATGAAGACAAGGAATCTCATCTGCAGAATGAAGGGTATGCAAATGTTGAGCCAGATAGTTTGTTAGCACTGAAGCCCCTAAGCAACGAAGAGCAACAACTTATTGAATGCCTGCTTAATCAAGAAGTGGAAGCTTCTTTTTGGGAGGACTCCATTCTACCGGAGCTGGATCTCATGTTAATAGATAACAAAGTGGAAGAAGAGGCAGGAGGAGACTTCCAAAAGCAGTATGAATTGCTTATGCCCATTTTTGAACAACATATTAGCGATGACTTTGAGAACTCCCTTTGGATGATCAAGGAAGCATTTCGCTCGCCCTTCATCAAGGAAAATATTAAAAAGGGGCTTGTCTCAACCCTTCAGGGGAAGGCTATAAAAGCAACAAGGGAGGCTATGAAGAGTGCACAATGCATAAGAGCTATTAAGGTTAAAGGTACGTGACACCCCGTTCTCTTAGCCTGCGCCAACATTGACGTTCCGATCATCATGCCGTTGTGTGAACATCTTATCGACTATGAATAAGAGGAAGGTATTCTAGGGCTTATTGCCCCCTTTTTTATGGGGGCCTAGACAATTTTTTGGGCTGTACTTAAATCTTATCTTTGAAGTTTAGAATCGCTGCAAGCATTATACTCACATAGGAAAGATATGACCCTGGGTTTGATGCAGACTTCCCCAATTACTAGCTACTTATTACTGTTTTGTCCTTTCATAATTTCCCTTTTATATCCCTTCCTTACGTGTAAGCACTGATGTGGGCTCCTATATATATTTGGTATTTGGATTGTAATGAACTAAGAATATTTTCCCAAAATATCTCCTCTGTATCTCTTTTCTCTCTCTTTACGGTTACAAGCCTCGAGACTCTCCTTCTCATTCCGAGTAGTCTCCACGCTCCGTAACACTGGTATCAGAGCCACGAGACCAGGCCAGATCTGGCGCTGACAAGAAGGAAAGCAGCGCAAATGGCATCTTTGGAAGAAGCCCTCAAAGCCCTAATCGATCAACAGAAAACCTTCACACAATAGAATAGATTATGAGTAAACTAAGTACACTCAAGAACAACTCAACCTTCACACAAAATGGCTCTAGCAAGCTATGGAAAATAATGATATTTGAATGCAATGAAAGTATGAATGTTGTGAAGTGAATTGGTGAGAAAAGCAGACCCAAACACCCCTTTTTATAGTGCCAAAAAAGGCTCCAACGGACCAATGCATTAAAGGGGTGATTGGCTTGATTTAAGGGATTGAATAAATTTGGGATCTGCAGGATATTGGCTTCCCAGAAATGTATGGAAATTACCCATCGCTGGTAGGCCAATTTTCCTTTAGTTTTGAAGCCAACGGTTACCTACCCATCGATGGGTACAAGCTTCCCATCGCTGGGTGGGAGGTTGACTTCCAAACAAGGAAAGAATCAACCTTAAATGACTTCCAAAAGTCATGCCTTCCCATCGATGGTTTAGCCTTAACATCGTTGGGTTCCCATCGATGGGTAAAGCTTCCCATCGCTGGGTAAGGGCATTCTGCCTTGTGATAATATTGGACCAAGGCTTGAACAGCGATGGGTAGAGCTTCCCATCGCTGTTAGGAATGGTTCTGGAAGTTGGTTTGGCTAAGGGGCTTCTTACCCATCGATGGGATGTTCCTCCCATCGCTGGGTGGGTGGTTAGCCAAAAACCTATGGTTTTTGCCTTAAGCACGGCCTAGCCAACCGATGCAAAAAAAAACCGACCGAAAAATCCAAAGTTCTCCAAAATAAAAACCAAGTGTTTAAAACACTTATTTGATGTATTTGGCTAAGAAATCAAGTGAGACACTTTAAAAGTCAAACGACTAAAAGCGAGAGATGGTTTTCAAAGTGTTTTTGTTGGAGAACCGTTCAAACATGCCAAAGAGTGAAAGCAGATCGGAAAATGCTGAAAACCACTTGGTTGGTTCGGATGCCAAAAACCAAACCCGACAACCGAAAGCCGAACGCTGGTTTCTGAGAGCCGAACACTGGATGGCTTGGTTTTTAGTTTGGGGAACACCAAGTGTTTTTAATGACTTACACAAGTTTAGAACCATTTTTATGATGTAAGAAATGCAATGAGAGTTTTTAGCCTAAAGAGCCAAGGTGTAAAGATTGGGTCGGTCTTGATCACAATAAAGACCGACTCAATACTATGATTGAGGTCTTCGTTCTTGGTCTTTGCTTAGCTCTTGCTCTTATCTTCGTTCTTCGCCTTGTATATTCAATGTTCGACTTGATCACGGCGGTTTGGCATTATCAAAACCTGTTACAAAAACAAACACGGCTTTAGTACGAAAACGTGACAAGCCCGTGTTTCAACAATTCTAGGAAAAATATTTTTGACAAAAGTCCTTCACCCAGCGATGGGATAAAATACCCATCGATGGGTTGACGTGTTCTGGAAAAAAATTAGAGTCAATCACCCATCGATGGGAGAGAGTTCCCATCGATGGGAAGAGGGGTTCTGAAAAAAACTTCCCTCCCAGCGATGGTGTAGCCCACCCATCGCTGGTTTCCCCTGATTTCCAGAATTCTTCACTTTGAACCGTCCCTGCAAAAAAAATAACACTTTGGTACCCAAAGTATGTCTATGGGTCCTTGGGGGTTAGTTGACGTTTATTGCTCACACACACACCCAAAATTCGCACATACGCACACACACACAATTAAATGATTGTTTATGAGTTACCTTGGCCAACCCATTGTCTCGTGGTTGGCGGGTCCCAGGCTACCCGAACGGAGTGCCGATATCTCGGTGTGGTCTGTGTTGGTTCTGGTAACGGAATGTGGACTTTCTTCTTTTCGTCAAAGTAGAAGAAATAATACGGTTTCTTTTCTGCACTTTCCTGTGGCGATTTGCCTATGATACGAATATCCTTTTCTAAAGGATTTCTTTTCGTTAGCACCAAAAATGTTGTGTGCTTCATTATAGGTGGAGTGCCTATGTTTGGTAAAACACACGGGAGCTATATGTCCTACCCTATTGCAGTAATGGCATACTACGTTTGGGTTGAGCATATGCCTAGGTTGATAATAGTTGCTAGAGGGCCTAACCATATTCATCCTATTTTGGAAAAATATTGGTTTTTGAAAACTCTCTCTTCTAGGTGTTCTAGCATTATTTTGTCTATTTGAAAAATTAATTTTATGCACAAAATCATTTTGATAATTTTTCCTAGGTTGTCTAACATGTACATTTTCATTCCTAGGTTTTTGTCTAGGTTGTCTAGTGTCCTTAGGTTGACTAGATTTTCTATTATCCTGATTTTTACTTTTCTCATGTTGAGCCTTAGGAGGTTGTCTAGGTGTTTGCTCAACGTTTTTATCCTTAGATTCATTTTTATCAAAACCTATTCCTTCTTTAGAAAAATGCATGGTGTCTAGGAGTAAGTTAAGATTTTTGTGCGGAGTATTAAATTTCTTAACCGTACTCTCAAGTTTAGTGACTTGTTCCTTTAAAACTTTACAAGATTCACATTCGTTTGAGGAACTTTCCGCTTTGTTGGCGCTTCTTTTGCCATAAAATTTATTTTCTTGTTTCAACTACTCATTATCTTTTTCAACTTTTCAAAATCATTTTCAAGAATGGAAAGGCGTTTCTTTAACGATTTGTTGAGTTTAGAAGCGCTAACAAATTCATCATAAAGTTTGTGAAGTGCTTCTTGCATTTCTTCAAAAGTGTAAGAGTCGGAAGAAATGGTACATACCTCTTGTACATCGTCGGTTTGGTCTTCGTG